TTCAAATTTCAAATAACCAACAATTTTGGTTTGTCTAAAAAAACTAACAATTTTGGGCAATCATACTAGTTTACATCTAATTACAAATGTCTTAATAAGTATTAAAAGTATATGAAACAAATGATGTTTTTAATTAGACTAAAATTTGCGGGTGTTATCTAGTCTTAAATGTTTGAATCTACTAATTTAGCAAGATTAGTCAAATGTCACTTTATGCGTATTTAGAGTTATTTCAAAATTTGTATGATGTGATCTAATCTGATCAATTGATCTTATCGGATGCTCCGCCTGTTTATGTCAAGTCTAATCTGCTCTAAGAATGAAATTTGTCCAATTAAAAACAGCCTAAGAAGCACACTCCCATAAAGCGTCAGTTTGAATCAAATAATGTCTACATATATACTTTGTACTGTGGTAAAATATTATTAGAAAAATGGTTTACTAATTTCATAAATTGGCATGCCCCTTTGGAAAAACATCCTAACAACAAGGACCCACAATAACCGTTTTTGGTGGGACCAAATCTAAATATGTTATAATTTGAAGTGATTGTTGTTTATATCCGCTTTTGCGGTGTTGTAGTAAAACAGAGTCTAACTTTTCGGTTTCCCACCAAGTATCATATCTCTGAGAAATGTGTTTTAAACTATGCCAATTTGCAACAAATAAAATTACAACTAGGAGCATGGTTCAATTTAAAGATTAATAATTAAAGATCAAACGTTCTAAAGATTGATGTAAATAACGGCAATGAATTGAGTTATCAGAAATGGAAATATTCTTGGACCTAATGATTAGGAATATTGAAAATTAAAATTGGACTAATAATTTCTATCCTCATAGACAATAATATATACTATTTTCATTAATTTATCCTATTTATAGGTTTCATTAATGTGTTCTATTACATTATTTCTCATAGACAATAATTGGCTTGAATTAAATTCTAATCTCATAGACAAGATAGAAATAATTCTCCAATGTCTTAATTACTAAAAATAGCCAAATTCATTAACTAACTAAAACTCATTTTTTTTTATTTTAATTGAAAATCAAATAACTAATTTATAATCAAATAACCTTGTAATGATGTAGTCAAGTCTAACAGTACTACGTTCAACAAAAAGTGAATTTATAAAAGTACAACTGAAAGATCCGGCTTCACCAGCCACCAGAAAGAGATTAATTTTAATTTGACCAGCACCAAACAAAGGAAACTCAATTGAGCATAAATTGTCCGGGTCATCAGTTTGACTCGTCACCAAAAAGGAGATTCAATTGAGTGTTGTCTATTTCTTTGAGTGAGGCGGTGGTTCAGGAGGAGGGCGAATAATTGAGGCATAAAAAACTAGGTTCAACAAGTCTTGCCACCCATGCACAACGAAAATTCATCACCTGATGAGTTAAACCAATGAGGAATACACAACCTCTGGACAGTGCTAGGACAGGAACATATTTCATGCTCACTTGAAGCGGACAAAAATCTCGACTAAAGAAGAAGTTGAACCAAAACCATAATTCAGCAGGGTAGAAATCAAATAGCACCGGAAACATAGTAGAACCCCTTACATTATTCCCCAAGAAAAGATGTTAAAGATGTTAATGGTGATTGTCAATCATCACTCTACGACTGCCGATTGGAGAGAAGTCGGGTTACCTCCTAGGGTTTAGAGTCGGCCGACTCTCAAACATATTAAACTCATTATTTAAGCAATGTGAATTTATTTCTCATAGACAAGATGTAAATCTTTTTTCTTTAAAAGATCCTATTTCTAGGTCATATTAATGTGCTTGAATATTACTAGCTCAAATTATTTTTTAACTTCATAGACAAATTAGAAATAATTTTTCAAAAATCTAATTAATGAGCTTCATGAAAATTAAATTTATTCAGATAAATAACTGTCTTGAGGCTGGTAAACAACTATATAACTAATTGGAATGAGTTCGATATCAACAACTATTTTATTCAAATTTATGAAGAAAATGCAAAATATTGAATAAATATTTTGGAAATTTTTGAAGAACGAATCGAGAAAACAAGTTACAGATTCAGATTCTAAAGATTGAAAGGATGAAAATTCATATAAAGAACACACAATTTGAAGCTAAATGAAAAAGATATAGAAGATTGAAGTTTCTCACTCACCTAAGTTTGAAGAGCTACGGAAATAGCTGAAGAAATGGAGTTGTTCGAACTCATTTAGGGTTTAGAATGATGTGTTTGAGATGAGCAAAAAAACCCGGTATATATAGGACGAGATTTTCCACAGGAAGCCAAAAGGGCAGGCGCCCTCCGCCATCCGTCGAACGTGGCTCGTGTCGCATCAGCCGCAAGCGGTCGCGGGTGGCGGACCCCTGTCATTCCTATTTGGCTGCCTTCTATCAAATCCCACCAACCGGTTGTTGCGTCTGTCGCCTTGTGTCGTAGGCGATCACGAAGGATAGCCGCCCTCCGTTCAGTGTCGACAACCTTCGATCTTCTTGCGGTTCTAGTCAAAGTCAAAGCTTGATTTTTCAAAGAAAAAATTCCGCTTTTGGTCCCATGACTATTATACCACTTCCACATTTAGTCCTTTACTTTCAGATTGTCCACATTTAGTCCGTGACCATTATCACCTCACCACCCCTCGTCCTTCTGGTCAAAATTCCGGCAAATTTAGTCCACTTATCAGCCTCAGAATCAATCTTTGCATTAAATTTTATATAAGATTGAGTTTTTCATATTAGTCTTTGCATTAAATTTGGTTTTTCATACCAAAAATTTGTATTAAATTTGCCGGAATTTTGGCCGGAAGGACGAGGGGTGGTGAGGGGATAATGGTCACGGATTAAATGTGGACAATCTCAAAGTAAGGGACTAAATGTGGAAGTGGTATAATAGTCACGGGACCAAAAGTGTAATTTTTTCATTTTTCAAATAGAAATTGCCCAATATAGGAGTAAACAAAAACATAATTGCACAAATAGGAGTAAAACTTAAAACTTCCTTCAAAAGGAGTAAACATTAATTTTGTACCCTTAATATCCCTAACCTAGTTAATTCTAAAATACGACTTATTTAATCTTAACCTAGTTAATTTATGACTTATTCGATAATAATAATTTATTTATTTATTTATTTTTCAAAAAATAAAAATATATATTTTTTTTAAAAAAAATAAAAAACTCAAAAAAATAAAATAAAATTCACCGCCTCCTCTGCCGCCTCTGCACCACAAACTCCAGTCACCAGAGGAAAAAATGCCAAGTTCATTACGAATGTCATATTTATGGCAGAAAATAATGAAAATGTTGGCATTCGCAAAGAGAAATATGCCATGTTTTTGGCATTTTCAGAAACAAAATGGCAGTTTTTAGGAAAAATGGAATTTTTTTCACCGCCCGGAGGTGGTGGTGCAGGAAGGTTGTACAGGCATTGGGAAAGACATCCATATATTTTTTAGTTTTTTTTATGGAGTTTTACTATTTTTTTTAATTTTTTAAAAAACTAAAAATTTTAAAAAAAACTTTTTTAAATTTTTTAATTATTTTTCTACGAATTTTTTATTTTTTCTGAATTTATTATGAATTAAAAATTTAATTAAAAGTTGTTGGGGCTTAGGGCTTGTGTAGGGGTATACTTGTCCAAACACTAAAGTTACTCATATTCAAAACATGATACCCCTATTTTTGCATTTTGCCTATGTTTTGCTCCTATTTGGGGAATTCTCTCTTTTTCAAATATACAACAGGTGGTCATCCAGGCGGTTATATTTGGGCGCCTTCTGAACCACCTTTTGGTCAATTTCTCTAGCTTGTGCTGTATTTTCTGCTTTTCAAATTGCTCTTGTGGACCACTTTGATATGGATTTTCGCTTCCTTTGTCTGATATGAATTCATTTGTTACACTAAAGGCTGTATTTTCGCTTCCTTTGTCTGATATGAATTCATTTGTTACACAAATTGACACGAAATTTCCACAAATATATTATGAATGTGATTTTCACAAAACTTGAACCAAAAACTCTAAAACATACCTTGTTTTCTATTTTTATCTAAAAATCGTTCAAATATGGTAAGAAAAATGAGGACAAAATGGGCTTGTCACTTGTCATTTATTATATTGGTAAGATTATCACATGATCAGTTCTAACGACGGGAAATACACAAATTCTGAATGTGTGTGATAATCTTTATAGGACACACCGAAAAAGAAAGATGATACGATCATAGCAAGTAGAGGGGGTAGTATTGTTTTAAAAATACTACCTACTAGTTTAAAATGTCACAAATAGGAATTTTTAATTGTCATTGGACAAAAATAACCTCATAGGGTTGGAAGACTTCTGCCCCCATGTCATCGGACTATCGCCTGATTGCCTACTATCGGTCGCCATATTTTCCGCTGGTCATCGGACCACCATTGCCGTCACCACCGAACTGTCCCATCACCAACGAACTCATCTTGCTTATGCAAGGAAACTATGCGACAATTAATTAAGTGTTGTCTATGAGTATAAAAGTAATGTGTTGTCTTATTTAGAGAAAACCAAATCTATGATTTTATTTTTGAAAGAATGTTATATTTTGGTGTTCATTCCACCAATATCATCTATTGCTTAATATCTCTAAGTCCCATTAAGATTTTTTCATCTTTCTTTTTTTATAAGTCTCATTAACATTGTCTCATACTCGAAAGCTGGCAATATTATGTATTTATCTATTACATAAACTATATAAACTCTTTTTTTAATAATGATTTCTCTCTTCATGTTACTTAGGGAATCGGAGGTAATAAGAATTGCAATGTATAAGCCATATAAAAAAGAGATGATTACCCTATGTATGAGTAAAACTCATCGACATTCTCAATCTATGATCAAGTTAGTTTTTCCCCATTATATTATAATATGTAAATTCATAAAAATTAATAAATTAATTAATAATTAATATGGATTAATATAGTCTTAGCTTGTTATTATTATTATTATTATTATAAAACTATAATGAGAGAAAAACAAACGATGGCGAGAGGGCGCAACTAGATTCATCAGCGGCGGCAATTGACCGAGGGCTTCAATCTGCAGGGATGGACGAAGATGGCTATGCGAGAATCCAGCAGGCCGCAGGCCAACATCGGTCGACAATTGTTAATCGCAACAAGAGACTGACTATTCGTGGATCCCCATCGCAAGAGTACTATGGAAGAATCGCGACGGCGCTGCGTTCACCATGGAGGATTCTCATTGCGCACCTTCCCTGTAATTACCTTTCTCAAACAAATACCAAGAAGGGAGAACAACCCTATTTCAGTGGAGGAAGCAACTTGGAGTTATGGCCAGATGGGCGATTCTCCAAAACGTAGGCATCCAAAATGCTATTGAATAATTTTTATTTATTGCAGTAACTTTTATTTGATTATGGCACAAGGTTCACATCAATTCATATTCGCAGACTTATCCAAGTACCTGCCACTCCATTCTAATTCTTCTTTCTCTATTTTTTAAATTAGGTTGAATAAATATGAACCTGACAGTTAGCATGCTCAGTGAACCTGACAATAAATATGGTTGAATATGGGGACTGAATATGATAATATATAATGTTGTACATGTGCATTGAATGAATGTATTGACGAAGTGTGTTGTGCAGTGAATTGAACACAATAGATCGTATCATAACTCTGGCGAAGAGTGCAGTGATAATGACGGAATGTAGAACAGTAACATCGACATTAAATGCAATATATTTAATTAGACGTAAAAATACTAAAATTAGTAAATCTAAATATTTAAAAATTAAAAGAACTATCAATAAATTCCTAAAGAGGATGAGAAGAGAACTAATGTTGGTGGAAGTGCGGTGATATGTTATCGAGTGTGCAATAATGTCGTGCAGTAAATGTAGCATAAAGTGCAATATTTTTAATCGGACGAAAATAGTGTAAAATGTACATTTTTGAAGCACGCTCTAGTCAAATATCGGGAAAGTTCCCTGTAAAAATTTGCATTAACTAAGTTCAAGAATATAGACTTCGAAGTTCCGAAAGCAACTAGACCTACCTTAAACCTAAATAAATCAAACAGCAACCATACAACATCAAAACAACCAAATTGGAGGACCCCACTTTGCCAAACACACCATCGGTATGAATGCATTAACAATACATATCGTGTGAAATTTGAGACGCTCCACTAGAGTATATTCTTAATTCGTTAGGCTGGGCCAAATTCGTTTAATTAAATTAAATTCCTTAATAGCAACTAATAATAGGAACTTAAAGATAAAATTAAACTTCGTACAACGAGAAAAAGAGAGAGAAAATCATAAAAAGAAAATTACTAGGACACTCAGTATATATATATTTATTAAATTAATTAAGGCTAATAATACAACAACTATTTGTTTGGGCGCTGAACAATAAAAGTATGGGTTAACGCCAAGCAGATGCGACGGCGAGTATCCGTCCCATCCATCCAAAGCCGATTCCTCCGCCGGCTTGCTCACTTATGGTGAATCCCGGGTTGCCACGTGCCCCAGAGTTGAGCTTCGACCGGAGCGAGTTACCGACGTGTTGACTCATCGGCACCGAGCTGAACCCGGCCATGCCCAAGCGGGCCCCCCACTTTCCCAACACTTCGCATCTTTCGACCCGGTCCCTCCCCTCGCAAGCCACCGAGTTCGCCATTTTGCGACCCAGTCCCTCCTCGATTCTAACTCGGTCGATGCTGTCCCTCGGAACCGTCGCGTCCAGCGAGTCAAACAGTGCCGCGTAGTACCCACACGCCTCGTTCACGCGCGCCGCGAATGGAGCCGTGTTCCCGTTCAGCTCCTGCTCCACAACCGAAACCACGTCTGGGGATAACGCCTTCACGCGCCTGAGGAGCGTGTCTCTCAGATTCTCCGTCGTCACGCTCTCGTCGGGGAGTTTGTACAGTTTGAAGGCGAAGTTCACGACCAAAGCCTCGTCGGCTTCGACGCCGAGCCGTTCCCGGCTCAGCTCGTTGATTGAGCAGGAAACAATGTTGACGGTCAAACTCACGCCGAGGGAGTGAGCCTTGTTCTGGAGCCGCTCATCGAAATCCCTGAATTTTTTGTCGAAACGGCCGGCCGTGTCCGTGACCGTCGTGATCTTTAATGCCGGCGGGAGCTCTGTTTTCCTGGCGGCGAGGGCATAGAGCAAATGCAAGTACTGCCCGCCTTCGCCGATATCAAAATCAACGACGTGGATCTTACAGAGTCTCTTCTCCGGAACAGCTTCCAGGATGGCGAGGTTTGCAGCCATGAAACCCAGCTTGAAGCAGGGCGAAAATTCGTAGAGTTTTTGAGTGGAGAAATCCTGCTCATTGCTAATCAAGTCCATTACAGGGGGCGGAAAATCCACCGGGTTCACGCGCGATCGCAGGGCGGAAGCCATGTAAGCCGTCAGTCTCTGTTCGGCGGTGCCCTTCACGTTCGCAACCAGAGCAAGGCGCGTGAGAATCTCTGATGCAACCTCTAATTTTCCTTCGGATACCGCCGTTGCCGCCTCCGATATGGCCACCTTTGGGCAAGTCAGCGCCGGCGACTCCATAGATGAAGCACACGACGACGTCGAAGACGAGGTAGCCGGCGAAATCGGCTGTTTGTTATTCATATTCGGGCACTCAGTCTGCCCATGGGCCTGGGTCGGACGAATCAGACTCTGTATAGTCTCCGACCACTCACTATTTGTCACGGCGGAGACGACTGTATTGGCTTCCTCCTCATCGTTATCATCCAAAAGCTGTTTCTCCAGCTCGTGTAACTGATTCATCATCTTCTTCTCCGTCTCCAACCCACCAACCGTTACAGAACCTAAAGCGCCTCTGTTTTGGACGCAAGAATTTTGAAAAGACACCCCGCTAGCAAAATTCGGGTTAATCGCATCAGAATGTAACATACCGTTAAAATTCACGTTTCCGATAGGCAGGGATGAAGGCTGCGGCCGGAATTGTTGAAGAACCGGGACGCCGTACCTGGTGTTCATCACCGGATAATTCGAATTTGAAGAGAGAGAAGAAAAATCTACCGGAGACAGAGGAGATATCGGAGATGAGTGCTGATAATTTCTAGGTTTCACGTTGCGGAGATAGAGCCCTAACGCCCCTTGCCGTTGCTGGAGAAATTGCAGCTGCTGAGACTCCGCGAAAGATCTCTTGGCGATCAAATCGGACCGCCGTTGAGCGATCTGATAAATCGGGTCGGATACAATACCAGAAATCTGAGAGCCGTAGGGAAGGTGAACGCCGCTCTGCATAAGGCTGACGTTGTGATGGTTGATTGGAACAGATCTTCCGTTCAAGATTCCGTCGGAGCCGCCGTAGAGCTCCTGAACGCTGCCGGGAAATCCAGACGACATTTTGTCTCCGGCGAATAAGCTTCCAAAATTTGGAACCACTAGAGGAGGCGTGAATTTTTTATAAAATTCTGCATTCCCCAAAAAGGAAGATTTTTTATCAGGATGGAAGAGAGGGTGGGACAGAGAAATTTGTAGATAGAGAAAGAAAAGGGAGCTTCGTTTTAGGCTATTCCATCCACTCTTGTCATAATTATAACTGCTGGTTCTTGAGAGAGTGGTAACCTTGCAACTTCACCTAATAATAACATTAAATAATCATTACACTAATTAGTAATAATAACTAATAATACTATATAATACTCCCTCCGGTTCTACATAAACTTCACATTTTCATTTTAGAATAGATCCAAAATAAAATTCATACGTCTTCTCACATTCTTATTTGGCAAATTATCTACATCAAAACAGTGCTAAACAATGTCAAATAGTGTCAAACAGTGTCAAAACAACGTACTCTACAGTAAAGTCAAATTTATTTCCTTAATTTGTGTGAAGTCAAAGTGTTAATTTTATTTAGGACCGGAGAGAGTAATAAATGTAGTATACTTCGTATTAATTATATTTAAATAATAATAATAATAATAACCCCTTGGTGATTCTATTTTCACCTTATCAAATTTATCCGTCATTGTTTTTTATCAAAGACGTAATTTTTGATTTTACACATTAAAATGTAAAATACTCCGTAATAAAAAGACATAAAGTTGAAATTACTCTGATAGTGTGAGAGCTATATTGATCGGAGTTAATGTGAAAAAATTAACAAATTTTCATATAATTTTTTTATTTTATTAATAAAATATATTTTAAATATATCTTTTTCATAAATTAGTAGAATTAACCAATCTAACTGCATCAATCAGAACTTAATAAATTTCATCAGAATCAACTAATACAATTGATTTGGTTATTACCAAATGAACTCTAAATAGACAAAAAAATGAAACAGGGTAGGGGTGGGATCGGTCCGGTCCGGGTCGGGTTTTTGCTAAACCCGGAAAATACCGTAAGGTATCGGGTTATGAAAATTAGGGACTGAAACAAAGCCCACTATATTAGGTTGAGTCGGGTTTTTTGTAGTCCGGGTTCGGTCCGGGTTCGGGTTGGGCCGGTTAAAGCCCGAATGTGAAATCACTCATTCATCTTTTATATTTTAACAAATAAAATTACCAAAAAAAGTACATACCACAAATAAAATTAATAAAAAACACAAATATTAGTCTCCAAAATCACTAAGAATTCAAATCCAAATAAGACAATTATCATAATATTTTGTTTAAGATGCATAAAAATAAATAATATAGGTGTTCTAAAAATGTTATGAAATAAAATTTATGGATAAAAATGAGACTAAAGTTACTATAAATATGTTTTCATGGTCATTACGGTAAATGAATTGAACATATTAGTAGTCACTAAAAGTTATTAAGTCATTTTTTCGTCCATGATTATAATCATATATTAGAAATTATTTATAAATTATACTACGTATTGGTGTATTATTTTGATTTTACATTAAAGCTAATTGTTTCGGGTTTTTATCGGTCCGGGTCGAGTTATAGATTTTAGGGCCGTTAATGAGCCCGACATTTCAGGTTCCGTCCGAGTTTTTTTTATTCGGGCTGGTTAAAGAGAAAAAACCGGAACAATATCATAATTTGAGCCGGACCTGGGCCGGTTTCCGGGTTTCGATTCGGTTTTTCTCACCCCTAAAACAATGTGTGAGTTAATATAAGTATGTCACTTTATTGGTTTATGAGTTTGGTTTTATCAAACATTTAATTTTTTCTAAATTTTAATATTAAACGTATTACGTAGTATAATTTTATTTTATTGAAAATTTAATAACTTCAATCTATTCAGCAATTATAGTTTTAGTCATAATTTCAGTAATTTTAATAGGTCAAATCTTTGTAAGGGTTCCTTTTAACTTTTAAAATTCAATTTCAAACAACAAATGAGTGTTGACTCATTTGCCCAAAATCCTTTATTTAGATACTGAGTATATGTTTAAGATTTTGTAAGAGTTTTAAAATTAATAAAGATATCACGTATTGAATTTGGATTTGGATGTATATTTTATTCCTTTTTGGAAACTCTGGATAACTTTCAACTACATCCAAACAGACATGATCGTATTTACCACTCCATTTGAAAAAAAAGAGTAAGCATTTAATAAATTCAACTCAATCAATGATAGATAGGACGGAATATTATATTGATAATTAATAAATTGCTTAAGATAAAACTAGAACGTAAACATAAATTAGAAAATGAAATAAATACTACGTATATTTTATTTTCAAAATTTGATCTATATATAGTAAACCATTTGAAATTTTTTGAATTGTTGTTCGCTAATTATGTTAGCATTAGGACCCTGTGAATTGGAGTTTAATGCATCAAACCCACTCGTGAAATATAAATTTGGCGCATTAGCATCATATGGTTTGAAAAATGTGTCAAACCCCTCATGTTATAATTAATCACACACAAAATTTTCTCCAAGAACAAATTTACACTTTTAATCACTTTTCTTAATAATATTGTTGAATATGCATGTAACTTTGTCAAAAGTTCTAAATTACACAAAAAACTAATCATTTTTCATTTTTTTGGAAATTAAATTGTTCTTTGGGTGGGTGGGGGGGGGGGGGGTTGCACCTGATTAATTATAACACAAGAAGGTTTGATGCATTTTTTAAATCACAAGGAACCAGTGGCAGGGCCACAAATCTTGGTTAAAGGGGCCGGTCCTTAAAAGTTTTACATTGCAGGGGCCAAATTTTAAAATATCAACATATTTTTTATACTCCGCCATAAAATTCATCCCAATTTCCTTTTTGGGTCGTCTCAAAAAATTCTTCCCACTTACCATTTCTGGACAATTTGTGTGGTTCACATTCATTTCACATTTTTTTACACAACCACAACCATACATTTTCACTTTATTCCACTTTCTTAATCTTCGTACCAAGTCAAAGTGGGAAGAATTTTACTTAAGAGTTTTTTTCTTGCAGGGGTCGAAGCCTCCTCCAGCCCCTACCTGTTTCCCCTGCAAGGAACTAATGTGTAAAAATTATATTTCATGAGGGGGTTTAATACATTAAACCCGCCCAATTAATAATACAAAAAAGTTTTGTTGGGTGAGGACTGTGTTTCTGAAAAAAGATGTTTACTGATTTATTTGATTGAAGGAGAAAAAAATTGTGTCATGTAGCTGGCATATAACCGTAAGTGTTTTTGTATTTTAAATAAACTTTCTCACGTCCAACGGTCCAAGAGCACATGATTAGGAGTAGAAGTGTAATTTTCAACTCTACTTTTAAATAATAGGTTGAAAAAAAAGATGCTTTGAAACTGTTTTTGCCTGGCCTCCAAATCAGGTTTACAAACTTGGTTTTGCTGCCAACACATACCGTGTACTACTTCTATTGTTGATTATATCTTCAAGAAAAAGATTAGTTTAGGTGCTTTTTCATTATACTCCGTATTATTTTAAGAACTTGTAAAATTGCATTTACACTACGTTTGTGGAGGAATGGTAACGGGCGGATCACGCACGGTTTTACATGTCCCGTTGGGTAATCTCCTCGCCTCGTAACCGCCAGGTCTGGTTCTGGAAGGGGGGCAGGGGCACATGCCCTGGGCCCAGGTTTAGTATGGGGCCCATGATTTTATGTTATACTCCCTCTGTCCCTTATAACTTTGCCAACTTTCCGTTTTTGGTTGTCCCAAAAACTTTGCCACTTTCCATTTTAGTTAATCAATTTGTGGCTCTCGTTATTTCTCTCTCCTCTGCACAAATATCTACCACACAGTTTTTACTTTATTATTCTACGTGCCGGTCAAACTTGGCAAACCTTTAAGGGACGGAGGGAGTATTATATATATATATATATATATATATATATATATATATATATATATATATATATATATATATATATATATATATATATATGTGTGTGTGTGTGTGTGTGTGTGTGTGTGTGTGTGTGTGTGTTACTACCTTCGTCCCATTAGAAGGTTCCCGTCCACTATTTGCATGGTCAACTTAAATCATTTTTAATCGTTTATTTTATAAATCAAATTTTTATCAAACTTACATTTTTTATCAGCCTTTGTAGTGGTTTTAATGTAGTTTCTGAATATATTAATTTTATTTACTAAAACTAATCAGAGTGTGAACAAGGATTGAGTTGCTTTATCGTCAGTCAAGCATCGTAAACCGTTCACGGGAACCTTCTAGCGGGACGGAGGGAGTATTATTTATAGGGAGAACTATCAAATAAGCCATCGAACTTTCATAAAAAGTTCAAATAAGCCCTTTTATATGAGGCTCTATCTGGCCATTGCCACTTTGGATTGTTTCCGGTGGAATTTTTTTGATGAAATTTTTTGAGTATTTTCTTCATTAAGTTTAGTTTTTTCATACCAAATTTCAGGTAAAAATTCAACCGGAAAGGTAGTCAAATGAATTTTGAAGATAACTGCGCAGTTATACAGCGCAATATATTTCATAAAATCATTTGGCTGCCTTCTCGATTGAATTTTTAGCTGAAATGTAGTATGAGTAACTAGACTTAATGAAGATGATACTCAAAAAATTACACCGTAAACCGCCCCAAATAGCGACAGTCGGACAAAGCCTCCTCTAAAAGGACTTATTTGCACTTTTTATGAAAGTTCGAGTACTTATTTGATAGTTCTCCCTTATTTTTATAATAATAATGAGGATGCATCTCTTCGGTATATGAGGATGCATCTCTTTGATGCATAATATTAATGAGGATGCATCTCTTCATATGGGGCCCAGGTTTAATATTAATATACTCCCTCCGGTTCCTATTAAAGTTCTCACTTTTCTTTTTGGGATGTCCCTTATTTAAGTTCACACTTCCATTGTAGGAAACAAAACAGTGCCAAACAGTGTTCAAACATTGCCAAACAGTGCCAAACAGTACCAAACAGTGTCCAAACAGTGCCAAACAGTGCACTCTACAGTAAAGTCAAATTTATTTTCTTAATCTGTGTGAAGTCAAACTGAGAACTTTAATAGGAACCGGAGGAAGTACGAAGTATAGGTTAATGAATCATCACAAACTCATCGCTAATTTGGCCGACAAAGAGAGGGTAAACCCCCCTGCATCTCTTCGATTTTAACACCATCCGTCACTGCTCATTCGCTCTGTCGCTTGCATCTCTTCCAG